AAACACACCACTAGTTTAATAAAAACACTGAGGCTGGGTTAATATTTTACATCATGAACACTCACATGGTAAAACTTCTGCGTGGGTCTTTTGTTCTGGTGTTAAAAGTTTGTAAACCACTGCACATTTTGCGAAATTTAAGTAAAACTTCGTATAAAGTTGCTGCGTCTGATATGATGAAATATCACTATTCCAGCACCCTTTTTACATTGGCTGTTTAGGTTGTCAATCAAATTGGTAAATGTTTGTTTTCTCCTTGTAGCCTAATCTTAACTCCTAGTTTTAATCCCATTAAGGAATTAACAAGCACATAACCATATTATTTTAAATGCAATAAACATTTTAAACAGATGTTTCTCTTTTACAGCTTAACTAAACATTTATCACTCACTACACACCATTTGTGATATCCATAATTCCCCAACACCACCCACATGAAACAATACTATAGTAATTTATAGTAAATACTAGTGTTTTGAACCATACTATAGTAAAGTGTATTATACTGTATATATTAGAGTATTTACAACACTTTGTTAATGAATGCTACAGCATACTGTAGTATTAACTCTAGTGAACTGATAAACTGTAATAGATACTGTAGTATACTTTAGTTTTTACTATAGTAAACTGTAGTGTATTGTAGTATAATATACCCTATAGTTGTAGAAAACTTAGTACAGTATTGGGTAAAGTAATTTGTTTATATTACTGTAGTTGTTATGTTACCACGGCAACTATAGAATTACCACAACAAATTAATTGAAGTACTTTACTATAGTATGGTTCATAAACACTGTAGTATTTGCTATAAATTACTATAGTATTGTTTCATGAACTCTCAATATGCATAGACACTCAGTCTTTATTTTAACATAACTTTATTTTCTTCTTTATATTAACATTATTAGCAGAAGCTGTAGTAGTAGACCTAAGAAAATAATCCCTAATATCGTAATAGAAAAGCACTGTAAAAATAACTGTAAATGAAAAATAATAATTTTGTCTTAACTTCTTCACTTGCCAGAGTTAAATCCTCGAGCTGTTATTCTGTCAAAAACCTGTTTCAGTGAAAAAACTGGCTGCTATCAATATTCATCACATTAATGGATACATTCATTTGTAAACATGTTTATTTGTTTCCTTGGCAGGTTTAGTTTTACACAAAACAAAACAGAACTATAATTATAATAACTCAAAATTAAATGAATCAATCTCATGCATGACTTTTGGTCAGACATCAAACGTTTAACAGATAAAACACACACATCATATCACATTTCTTGTCTTTCCGTCATCAAATTTAAGACCTCTTGAAATCATAATTAAGGCTTTCTTGTACCATTTAAGACTTTTAATGGCCTTCAATTTAATGCAACTAAATGTAAGACTGTTTAAAGACTCGCAGAAAACCTGATTTTTAATTCTTACAAAAATACAATCAAAACAATATCAACAAAAATGTTTCTTTAAAAAGTGGTTTAATTTCTTTAGCTTTTCTCAATACATTCTTTCAAAGCAGCAATGCAAATGCTCTATTAAACAGACAAAAGCAACAGTGGAAAGGAGAAACTCTCTTGCAGATGATAAAGACACTATGAGAAGCTTAAGACTCATGCAAAGGCCATATTAAATATACACAGTAATATGTAAAAAGAAAATAATACAAAATATAGATGCATGCACAGTCTTCATTCTCAGTTTGGCATAGATATGCATGATAAAAAATTTTTTTACTGTGAATACTTTCTTTTTTTTTATTTTCAAACAATAGTTGATGAAATCAAAAGTAACAATAATAGCTAGTTGATGATTTATGATTGGTAATCCTTCAGTAACCAGTCTAGATCACTTTAACTGTGAGTGCTGGTGTACGGCTGCAGTGCAAATGCTCATATGTTTTGTAAATTAAACATAAGCTGCAGAAATATGTTGACAGAATCCTGTTGCTTCTGAAAGCATAAGTAACCGGTGGCTTTACTGGGTTCAGGGCCCCATACAATTTGGGTCCCTTAGTATGACACTCTCTTCTTCAGAAATTGCTTCTTGATGTATTCGTCTTTAGCAAAAGTAAATACAACTGACTAAATTAAATTATAAGTCTGCGATCCACCGTAAAGCAAGAAGAAGAAGAAGAAGTCAGGCACCTGCTGTTGAGGATGCGCTCAGGACAGCTCAGACATTGCTGTGAAAATCAGAGGTAAAAAACTATATAAATACTGTTTAGTTTCTTGCACAGACCGGTCATTTTGTGTCTTTACACATCAATGTATCGTCACGAGCCGCAGGGTTTAATTTGGTTTTGTGTATGTTTTTTTGACTCTCAAAGCCGTGATTCCCATCCACTTCCATTATAAGACTGACAGACTGCAACGGTTTGAGTTAAACATCTTCGTTTGTGTTCCACTGAAGAAACAAAATCACCTACATCTTGGATGCCTTGGGTGTAAGCAGATAAGCACCACATTTTAATTTTTGGGTGAACTATCCCTTTAAAGCCACTAAATCCTAATGTAATATGTCCCAAAAAAACACTTCAGGAAACCATTATTTAATGGGTTTAATGGTTAAAAGTTGATGGTTTGTAATGTTTGTAATGGTATTTGTAGTGAAAATCATTCAAATTTCTGTGATGGTCTCTATTGTTTTTGTCAGCAGGGTCACTGTGGGTTTTGTGATGTTATTTTTCCATAATTGCGATCAGATTGCTGTAATATTGTGAGATAGCAGAGGCTGTTTGTAGTTGTGATGAGTCTTTTTGGGAGAAAATCCAGGGCCATTTTTTCCTCCCAGTCCGTCCCTGCTTCTATCTTAATACATTTAATGTTTTTTTCATATTTCAATTTATTATGCCTTTATTTACTATTTATTTCGGTTGTACGTCTAATGTGTATCAGTCATGCGAGATCTCGTAGACGTCTGTAAGCTTTTGCTTAATCCTGACACATCAAAACTGAAATGTCATGACAATTTATTTAGAATAAAGATGATACAAACTGTACAAAATCAATTAACTTTACTTTCAGAGTGTAGAGATTGTGTTTTTTATACTTTACCAAGGTATAAATGTTTTATACATTTTAACCTGATGTACTTTTTTCTTTTCTTTTTTTTTTTTACATTGAGTTTGTCAGGGTTTCCGGGTAGAGGGATGGAGCGAGGACTCAGTATAGCAGAAAATGGGCTTTATTTTAAAATAAAACAAAACAAACAACAAAAACTACCCCGAGGGGGAAAAACAGGCTGGCAAGGCAAGGCAAGGCAAGACAAGGCAAGACAAGGCAAGGCAAGGCAAGGCAAGGCAAGGCAGGATCTGGACACATCCAGGGATTGACGATGACATCCAGGGGGAAATAACGACAACGAACGGACGCAGGACTGCAAACACAAGGAGAATAAATGGAGAGCAAATGAGGAGGGTAACGAGGGAGCACATGTGGGGCAAATTAACTAATAATCAGGTAACAAGATGGGAGGGGTCAAGACAATTGACATGAGCACATGGCACACCGAATCAAAGACAAAAAGCCATGTGCTCACACAAAACAAAACACAAGCACATGGCCAGCAAAACAAATCACAAGCCATGTGCTAGAACAAGAGACACGAACACGCAGCTAATGAGAAAACTCATAAGCCACGTGTTCACACAAGACAACAAGAAAAGCACGCGGCTGAACACAAACCGCGTGCTTCACAAAACACAACACACGTGGACAGAAGAGCGCACGGCCGAGCGAACTCGAGACCGCACGCTCCCACAACAGACAGAACATGGAGCGCGAGTGTCCGGACCCCGACACGAAACCGAAACTCAAGACATGAGTGCCGGGATCTGAACACCACGCTCCAACATGAAACAGTACACGCAGACGAGAGCGCACGGCTCGAGCACACTCGAAGCCGCACGCTCACATGAAAACAATGACATGACGCGAGTGTCAGGGCTCTGTCACAAAACCATGAATTACACTAGACTGAAGTGACAGAACCCTGACAGAGTTACTGTAAGAAGAATTGAACAGAAAATACACATACTGTCACAAAAACTAGCAATATTATTATGTAAATGTGGCACCAGTACAAAAGTCACTTCAGAGGAAAAAGCAGAAGTTTTCCTCGTCTGATTTCTAATCATGAATTGCATGATTCTGTAAAGCTGCACAAACACGTGTGTGTGATGATCACTGTGGGTGTGTGTCTGTTGATTCTGTTGAATGTGATGTCTGTCTGTAGCGGCTCTTTATTCACCATCAGCGATCAGAGAAGGTCAGACTAACATCTTAAAGCTGAAAGTAAAACACAAGCAAATGTGTGTCACATTACTGCATTATCCACTTTACAACAACTAAAACAAACTATTTGCATTATTAGTCAGATTTATAAACTAACCCTGTGACGTACGATTTTAAAGCTCTTTTTGCATTCAGATTCTGATTCTGCATCCAAACCACCATAAATGATGACCCTTGACCCTTATCAATAATTTTATTCTATTCATTCAATTTTATTTATATATATTATATCACAGTTTTATTTATGACAATTAAAGTAATTATAAATAGTTACCATCTTTCCATTTAAATTGACATTCTGTTGTACCACTGTTTGAAGAATTCATCTTCCAGAATCTAGCAGTAAGTTTTAGGAGCTCATTTTTAGTCAATCTCTTTTCCTGAAAAGTCTGTCTTGCAGAATTAACTTCCAATTCAGTTTAGTATCCTAAAAGTACAATTACAGGGTGCTTTTATTAAGTGAATAAATACGTGAATTAATTTGTACTATACTTAGCATGAAATAAATGTATTTCATATACAAGTGTATTTATTTTTCACTAGTGAAATACTGTATTATTGTGAAATAAAAAAGAAACGTCAAGATATTAAACTATAAACAGAATCAAAATCTTATTAAACATGTTAGTCAAAACTACCAAGAAAGTAACCTAAGAAGAAACTATATTAACTTTAATTTAAACATTTTTAATCATCACTACTCACTCAAGCGTCTTCAGTTTATAATGTGGATCGTCCTTCAGATCAGAGAGCAGCTTCACTCCTGATGCTCCTAGTTTATTTCCAGACAGATTCAGATATCTCAGGTGTGAGGGGTTTGATCTCAGAGCTGAAGCCAGAGCAGCACAACTTTCATCTGTGACTCCACAATCCTTCAACCTGTAGAGAACAATGACACTCTTCAGTCTCTCAGTTCAGGATGTAGTAAATCAGCTCAAAAGGGAAATATTTATGACTAATTATAACTGGTTATGATTAATAATAAATATTTAGTTTAGATCTTAAAATTAACTTTAGCAGAATCAATATTACAATTATTTGATCTGTCCGTCCACCGAGCAGACAATATAATCATTTATCAATTCAAATAAAGATTATTTTCCTGGTCAAGGAAGAATAACTTTCCTTCTTTATGCAGTGCTAGCAGTAATTTAGCATATGTAGCAAGGGTTCAAAACATTCATTGACTTCGAATTGTGAGCAGCAAACAGAGGCAATCGATTGTGAATATAAGGGATTTAATAAATGAAACTATATCTAACATATAACTAACTAAGCAAAACACATATATACAGAATGAAGCAAAGTAAGGAAAAGAGAGAGAAGAGTAAAAGAATGGCAGTATTTTACATCAATCTTAAACACAACCTAATGAGAATCATCAAAGAATCAAAAATCACCTTAGAGGGGATCAAGCTTAAACACGCATTTAAATAGTTGTAAACGGTTACTTGCATTGGCTTTGATTGCTGAACAAGAGTTCTGATGCGGTAGACAACAGAGATCTTTGATGAGTTCTCTAGGAGTGAGCTGGACGTTCACTTCTGGTTCTTCTGAAGATAGGAAAAGTCCACAGCGAATCAAAGTTACTTGAAGATAAAAACTGCCGGAAAACAAACTCAAGAGTAGAGTCGTAGTGTGTCGTCCCAAAAGAAGAGGTTTTTGAGCAAAGATCATTTTGGGCTAATGCCTTTTGAGGGTTTCTATTCACCCCCCAACTTTGGGTGGAATAGCCAATACCAGGCGTGAATTTTTTTGAGCGGGAGAAGTTTCCTTTGTCTCCCTTTATGTTCCATTTGCATGTTTTATGGCCGGTCTGGAATTGTTCTCGAGGATTCAGCGAGTGAAGGCCTGGCACCGGACGCTCCGCCACGTCTGGCTGCCGAGGGGACGGAGGAACTCAACAGGGTCTTGGCGTGCATATGATACGCACATGTTTGGCGTGCATATTATACGCAGTTTACGCGTACATATGATATGCATCTACCCCACAACCCTAATCCTACCCATCGCGTGGCATATACACGCCAAAGTCCATTTTTGCGTATCAATACCACAAGTTTTTGTTTTGGATTATCAGTGGATTATCAGTAGAAACAATCATTCTTAGCTAATCAGTTAGGATTGGTCATCTTTAATTACCAGCCCGCTTTACATAAATACTAAATGCAGATGCAGTTCAGTCAGGACCTCTTTAGTCAAAAAGAAAACCATAGACAACCCTTTAAGGCCAGTTTTGTTGGCATGTTTTCTAAAGTTACATTTGGCCGCAACAGTTTATAAAGTTGTTAAATGTGTGATGTTTACAGTGTTAAAAATATGTTCAAGTCGTGTGGGGAATTCCAGCCTTAAGCAGTGACGTCACAAATGTCCTGCACACCTGTACAGTTTAATCAGGCTCCGCCGGGCCCTCCAGTCATCATTATGGGCCCTCAGTGCTTCTGGGTCTCTCTCTTTTCCTCCTCGAGTGACACCCAGCAGGTAACCTCTGTGCAGACGCTTGTGTAACGTGACAGCAGTCAGAATCAGAGCCAGCAGAAACACAGTCAGTGCAGCTGCCAAACTCCAGTAGCCTACAGCTGGAAGGGAAAAGTAGGGAGAAAGCACTTATTTTATTAAAAAGGCAAATTTTAAAAATTCACTGTTTAAGATTTGTGTAAAGCTCTCGGTGCCTCCTGTTTTACTCACTACGATATTTAGTGCCATCAGTTTTGTCTTTATCAGTTTCGTCCAGTTTTTGCTTTGTTTCTGTACAGAATATTGAAAGGTTAGTGTCACAGTTTAGTATTAATTATCTTTTTAAACATAATATTTCTAAACATCCACTGAGTTTCTCTCACCTGTGACTGTCACTATGATCAAGATTTCTCCTTCAGGGTTCAGAACTCTGTATGATCCTGCGTCTCTGGCTGTGAAATTACTAATTTGATTGGTTAATCACCAAATTCTTCTTCAAAATCCTATTTTTATGCAACAAAAATACATCTTTACCAGAGAGTCGAATATTTAATTTTGTAAATTTAAATATTAGATATTCAATATCGATTGAATATCTATTTATAACTGGGTAAATACACATTCATAAAATAATTGTTTTATGGATTCACAAAAAATAATGCATTCACAAACATTAAATCAATGTTCAAATCATAAAAAAATTTAAAACAAATGCTGAAATTGTATCATTTATGTCATGATGGAAAATAGCAATAGATAAATATTCTGATGTCGCTATATGGTCTTTTTGGGGTTAAATTATGTTTTATGCAGACATATTTTGGGTCACCGTGAACAGCAATTTATTGAAAATATCAGCAAAAGTATAAAGGAAACGCCGTTATAACAGCGTCTTTACATCCATTTTGACCGCTCCCAGCACCCATACCGTAATTGTGTGATTAGCAGCCAAAAAAAAAGTGTGGCTTGCTTGATTTTCAAGATTTTCAAGGCTTGACCGCAGTGATACGAGGCCTCCCACGTCATCCTCCCAACCATCTCCCACGGAGGCTAAAGGTACTGTTATTTCACCCTTTTTAAGTTCGTTGAAGTTGTGTTCCCACATCGTTAGCAAGTTTGGATCGCTAAATCTTGAATGACTGACTGTCAACTGTCCCGCTTGTTTACTCCGAACCGGAAGACGCTCCCACTTTTGACGCAAGGCCTCATGGGGTGTAGGAAACTTGTGGATAGAGCATGTGGCCTATAGCACTACAGTAAGATCCCAGGACACCCCTAGTCCGAATGTTCACTGCTATTTATTACGGACACACTATTTTCCTAATTAATGCTGTTCAGTTGCTTTGACACAATCTGTATTGTTAAAAGTGCTATATAAATAAAGGTGACTTGACTTGACACACACACACACACACAAATAATCAAATGGAAGAAATCTGTTGTTTCAGGTTTCTAGACTCTAGGTTTATATTTATTATTGTCATATTATACATTTTGCATTCTGCTCCTTTTATGTAGATTTCAAGTATTTTAGTTCAGTACAGTAATGCTTTTATTTCAGTCCTCTGCTGAAAAAAACTAACAAACAACAACAAAAAAACAATAGAAATCACCACATAATTTTTAATGGTTTTACTGGTTATAATGAAAGTTGTATTGTTTTTAATGGAAACTATGTATTTTAATGGAAATTGGTTGCCTTCTATTCATGGCTTTTGTTAAAGTTACTAAATCCTAATGAAATATGTCCCAGGAAAAACACTACAGGAAACCATTATGTAATTAATTAATAATAATCTCTTGTTTTTGTCAGTTCTTTTTTTTTACATTGAGTTACTGTAATACGAATTGAACAGAAAATACACATACTGTCACAAAAACTGGCAATATTATTATGTAAATGTGGCACCAGTACAAAAGTCACTTCAGAGGAAAAAGCAGAAGTTTTCCTCGTCGGATTTCTAATCATGAATTGCATGATTCTGTAAAGCTGCACAAACACGTGTGTGTGATGATCACTGTGGGTGTGTGTCTGTTGATTCTGTTGAATGTGATGTCTGTCTGTAGCGGCTCTTTATTCACCATCAGCGATCAGAGAAGGTCAGACTAACATCTAGAAGCTGAAAGTAAAACACAAGCAAATGTGTGTCACATTACTGCATTATCCACTTTACAACAACTAAAACAAACTATTTGCATTATTAGTCAGATTTATAAACTAACCCTGTGACGTACGATTATTAAAGCTCTTTTTGCATTCAGATTCTGATTTAGCATCCAAACCACCATAAATGATGACCCTTGACCCTTATCCATAATTTTGTTCTCTTTCTGTCACAGTTTTATTTATGACAATTAAAGTAATTATAAATAGTTACCATCGTTCCATTAAAATTGACATTCTCTCAAAATATTTAATTTAATAATTTCAGATATAAAAAACAATGACTATAAAGTGCGTGCATAATTATTAGGCACGTTGATATTCTGATCATATGTTTTTTCCAAGCACATTTGACCAATTCCAAACCACATCAATCTTAATAACTACTATTAATTAGGTATTTAATCATTTATGAGTGATATATAATTGTCCATGAAGACTGGAAGTTAAAAACTCCTTATATTCAGGTGTGCAGAATTATTAGCAGGTTTTCTTTTACAGATAAAATGAGCCAAAAAAGAGGTTTAACTCAGACTGAAAAGTCAAAAATTATTAAATCCCCATGAGAAATATTCAAAACTAATGCAATACAGAAATTGCAAAGTTAAGGCGTGACCATTGGACAGTGAAATGCTCAGTGGGTCAGCGGGGTCAGAAAAAACAGGTGGAGAAGAAAAGACACGTTAACTGCAAAATAATTAGGAATTAATGTGAAGAATTAGGTGTGAAACCATCAGGAAGCATTCAGTCTCCAGCGCCAGCATTTTCCAGAACTGCAACTTTCCTAAAATATGACCCTCACTTAATAAGAATCACATGCTGAAATGTTGTGAAATACATGAAGACTATTTTTATAGGTTTTATGGACAGATAAATTGAGAGTGACTCTTGAAGGAGCATCACATCCTCTTGTGCCACTGTTTGAAGAATTCATCTTCCAGAATCTAGCAGTAAGTTTTAGGAGCTCATTTTTAGTCAATCTCTTTTCCTGAAAAGTCTGTCTTGCAGAATTAACTTCCAATTCAGTTTAGTATCCTAAAAGTACAACAGCAGGGTGCTTTTATTAAGTAGATAAATATGTGAATTAATTTGTACTATACTTAGCATGAAATAAACGTATTTCAAATACAAGTATATTTATTTTTCACTAGTGAAATACTGTATTATTGTGAAATAAAAAAGAAGCATCAAGATGCTAAACTATAAAGAGAATCAAACTCTTATTAAACATGTTAGTCACAATTACCAAGAAAGTAACCTAAGAAGAAGAAACTATATTAACTTTAATTTAAAAATCAAACATTTTTAACATCACTACTCACTCAAGTGTCTCCAGTTTATAATGTGGATCATCCTTCAGATCAGAGAGCAGCTTCACATCTGAGTCTCTTAGTTTATTAAATGACAGATGCAGTACTCTCAGGTGTGAGGGGTTTGATCTCAGAGCTGAAGCCAGAGCAGCACAACCTTCATCTGTGACTCCACAATCCCACAACCTGTAGAGAACAATGACACTCTTCAGTCTCTCAGTTCAGGATCTACAGAAACTTCATGATTAACAGATCCAGTCTAAGGTTCAGACCCGCTTCTGATTGACAGTTCATTTCAATATCATAAACAAGTATGTTTTTTTTCTTTACATGAGAACCCTAAAATCTTCAACACATCTGTATGATGTGAAAACATACTGAAACAAGGAAACATATTTCCTACATAGCTGAGTGTGAGCCTTTATCATTTCTGTTCATTTTTCAAGTGTAGGGCCGCAGACGAGCAAATTGCTTTTCTTGTGAATATTAATGAGCCTTCTCCTGTCCTCATATGATGTTTGAAAAATGTATTTTTATGTATATTTCATAATGGGGAAAAAAATATTAAGGGTGTAACTATTAAAGGTTCAATTCACAATTTTGAAATCACAATCTGACTCTCATAATACTAAAAATTAATCTTGTCACAGTACCAACATTTTAGTTGTCCACCAATACCATATGTGAAAATAAAAAAGTATTAAGTATATTAAATCAGTATAATTAAGCTAATAATAATTAATTAATACTTTAAAACAGTATGTAGCCTTCAAATACGTTTCACTTAAGTAACATTGTTTTAAAAAGGTCAAATGAAACCTCATATAGAACAAATGATAAGTCTATTAATCAACATTTACACTCCGAGATCTATTGACATCAGATTTTATTATTATTACTATTATTATTATTATTATTATTTGTCCCATCCATTGCTATGTTATCACTGTGGCAGTCATCACAATTTCTGATTCAGATTTAAAATTTAAATATGATTTAAATACGGTTGTCACTCCAGAAAGTTTGCAATGTTTAATAATTAGCAATAAAAACAATAATGACTTTTACGTAATACCTAATACTAATGTACCTAATGTACTAATACCTAAATTAAATATTACTTTATTATGAACTAATGATGTGTTCAGGTATGTACTAATCAAAACTAATCCATCAAAACATTAACTAACAAACATGTACTAAAGGTTCATCTCTGTCTACACTTGGTACATTTTCTGACGTGGATAAAACTCTACAGATGATTCTACATCCTTGTCAGAACTACAACTATAAACTATTTGTACATATTTATTTGTGAGTACCAGTGTGTGTGTGTTTGATCCAGAGAGATGATTTACCAGAGTTTCTCCAGTTTACAGTGAGGATCCTTCAGTAGATCAGAGAGCAGCTTCACTCCTGACGCTCCTAGTTTATTTCCAGACAGATGCAGATATTTCAGGTGTGAGGGGTTTGATCTCAGAGCTGAAGCCAGAGCAGCACAACCTTCATCTGTGACTCCACAATAACTCAACCTGTAGAGAACAATGACACTCTTCAGTCTCTCAGTTCAGGATCTACAGCTCAGATCAGCAGCAACTTCATGATTAACAGATCCAGTCTGAAGCCTTGGCAACTTTATATTTAAGGGATGTTTTTTTTTTAGGCTTGATTGTGTTTTTGGGGTGCAGTCTAACGTGTGTTAATGCATTGTTTAAAAAAAAAAATGCATGATTTTTCACACCAAGCCAATTTACAGATGTATAAACCAAGTTTTATAAGGATTTAAGATTCTTTGAAGACTGAAAGTTAACATCACAACTGAAGAACTGTGCTACAATCCTACCTTAAATTAACTAATAAATTATTTTGCCAAAAAAATTTTGGTCAAACGTATTTATTTTATGTAATGGAGAAATCTAACACACTGGCGAGCTACTCAATGAGTGCTCAGCCAAACACAGCAACATCTCTCAGTTCAGACCTGCTTCTACATGTGTTTTGAGGAGGTTAGTTTCAATATCATAGGAAATATCAGAACTGTTTAATTCTTTTGTAAATACCCCAAATCATCAACACACATCTTTATGATATAAAGCAGCTGTTTTTAGATCATCCACTCACCCTATAATATCTTATAGTATTTTAAAATTGTGTCAAACACTTTGGAAAGAATGTAATGAAGATTAAAACAGCATCCCTTTCAATTAACTGACAGGACACTTTCTTTACGACACAGTTTTGGTTTTCATTTTGTTCATGATCAACAAAGGAGCAAAATTTAGGAGGATGCTGACAGATTTATATAATCTTACCAGAGTATCTCCAGTTTACAGTGAGGATCCTTCAGTAGATCAGAGAGCAGCTTCACTCCTGACGCTCCTAGTTTATTAAATGACAGATCCAGTTTTCTCAGGTGTGAGGGGATTGATCTCAGTACCAGAGTATCTCCAGTTTACAGTGAGGATCCTTCAGTAGATCAGAGAGCAGCTTCACTCCTGACGCTCCTAGTTTATTAAATGACAGATCCAGTTTTCTCAGGTGTGAGGGGTTTGATCTCAGAGCTGAAGCCAGAGCAGCAAAACCTTCATCTGTGACTCCACAATCCCTCAACCTGTAGAGAACAATGACACTCTTCAGTCTCTCAGTTCAGGATCTACAGCTCAGATAAACAGAAACTTCATGATTAACAGATCCATTCTAAAGCCTTGGCAACATTGTTAAAGACAAAAAGTAAATTAAAATAAAGATACTATAAATGCTAAAATAATTAATCCTCTATTATATAAACAACAAACTATAAAAGTATAATATATAGTACAGTTGATCATTTTACTGGGAAAACACCATATGCACAAGAAAAATGGTCTCTTTGTAAATAAGTGAGTATAAACCAGGATTTAGGTGCTGAAACATGATAGTGTCAGTTATTGTTAGTCAGATGCACTGAATTGTGATTGTGTCTCAGATGCAATCAACTGAAACTGTGGTCCTGTTTACACTTCACATTTAAATGCATTCAAACTTTATTATTATTATTAAAACACCTGCCTCACGTGTCTGGGCATTAAGCACGCTGAGGTGGCCTTCGTGGATGAGTCATGTTCTCATTGCGGGAAGATGACCATCTCGGAGCTGCGAACCAGGCTCCGCTACTCGCAAGGGGGTGGAGTCCCGTTGCCTCTGCCGCGATCTGGGGCTCGTTCTGGCGGAAGGCAGACGAGAACCACTTCCAGCAGTAGCGCGGGCGGTTTGAGGGTTACAGTGATGGCAAACCCCACAGGAAACCAACCCTCTGGGGACCATCACTCCTCTTGCTCCTCCGATCCAGTGGAGCGACCCATTGAACGCGCTGGGCCCTTTTGAAAGAGCGTACCAGCGGTATCCAGTGGACCTCCCCCCGACCAGATGTTGATCTCAGCATCGGAGGGAGAGCTGTCCGATGAGGATTCGGCCGCGCTGCCGCCCTACGGGACGGTGGCAAAGCCTGAATCAGATCCGGAGATGACAGCTATGCTTACCCGGGCCGCCGAAAGGGTCGGGCTCGAGTGGAAACCTCCACCGCTTCCCGAGCCCTCAAGCCTGGATGATTGGTTTCTCGGGGGCTTGCGCTGGTTCTCAGCCCCCCCCCCCCACCCCCCCCCCGGTGCCTTTCTTCCCGGAGGTGCATGACGAGCTCACCAGGTCGTGGACGGCACCTTTTACTGCCAGAAACCGGC